TCATGATTCTGAAACTGGAACTTCTGAAGGCAGAGGTGATCCAACTTTTGAAGATGGTATTTCTGAAGGTAGTGGCTTTGACTCTGATGATGATTCATACCCTAGGAATTTTCAAGACTCTGAAGACAATCAAGGTTCTGGAGAAAGTCAAAACTCTGAAGAAAGATCTTCTAAAGGGGGAAGTTCTGATGTCCAAGGTTCTGAAGGTCCAGTTCAGAGGCAACAAAGAGTCAGAAGCATCCCAAGAACATTTTTAGAGTTTGACATGTTGCGAGACATGAAGTAAACTCTGAAGGAGAAGTTATTCAGTGTGCAATGTTAGTAGACTATGAACCCGTGAGTACGAAAGAGGCTCTTAAGCAGTAAGTCTGGTTGTAGGCCATGAAAGAAGAACTTGATGTTATAGACAGAAACAAGACTTGGAAGCTGACTGAACTTCCAAAAGTCAAGAAATCCATCAGCATTAGATGGGTTTTCAAGCAGAAGCTAAAGCCAAATGGATCAATTGGCAAATACAAAGCGAGATTAGTAGCAAGAGGCTTTCTACAGAAGTCTGGGCTGGATTACTTTGAAGTGTTTGCACCTGTAACGAGACATGAAACAATCAGACTAGTGATTGCAATAGCTGCTAACAGGAATTGGCCTATGATGCATTTAGATGTAAAATCTGCATTTCTGAATGGTCCATTACAAGAAGAGGTGTACATTTCACAATCTTCTAGATTTTAGAAAAAGAATCAGAAAGGGATGATGTTCAAATTACACAAAGCCTTGTATGGACTGAAGTCAAAATCTCTGCAATACTCCCGGCCAAAATGCAAGGTAATTCAAAGTATGTTTGCGACCCCTAAAAAACACCAACCCCATACGAACTACGAATTGGAACTCTGATTCCTCATAAGAGGATACATAGGCATACGATCAAAAATTGTAGCGAGTTCCCTTGTAAAAAATTAAACCCTTTCCCCTATTAAAAATTAAAACTCTTTTCCCCTAATAAAATTTAAACCCTGTTTATCCCAACTCAAACCTAAAACTTAGTATCCTTGTGAACAAGGTAGATGAAAGGTTCCTAACACCTTCCTTTCGCCTAAAGAAGTCCGAAACCTAGAATCTTTGTCTGCGAATTAGGGTTTTCTGTTAGATTCCCTTCCCTAGGATAAAAATTAATAATGGCGGCTCTGATTAAAAATCTAGTTGCAACAGCTGGCGACTCTGCTGGGGACTTCAACTTTAGGTTTTAGGGTTTTTTGCTTTGGGGTTTTTATTGTTTTATTTATTTATTGCTTTCATTTATTAATTGCATTTATATAATTATTGTCTATTGTTTATCATCATATATACTGCGTGGCGGGATTTTTATTTCTCAAAATATTTTCAATAACCCTTAGAAAGAAGGTTCGTCTATTAACTTAGGGGGTACATCATCCCTGCAAGTTTATGTGATGACTTCTCCTAGAGTCGGTGGACTTCCTAAAAAGGAATACTTATCGAGAGATATCCTCTTGACGAGTAGGACTTTGGAAGTTCACCCATGACTCTTTGTAACTACTTTAACCTAAAATCTCATGAAAAGACCTTTCACAACTTTGAGACAAAAGTTTCGGTCTATAAAGAGGATCCACCTAAGGGAGGCCCTTGTGCCTTTTCCCTCTGGTGTTATTCATGATACCTTTAAGGAAGCCACCTTTTGGGAGGGTAGATTAACCGTAGGTCAAACTTAAGGAACCTACCTTCTAAGCGTATCTATCACAAAAACCCCGTCATTGAACTATACATCCCTACCTTATAAGGGTACCTATCACAAAACCCTGCCACTAAACCATACATTCATGCATTCATATATGTCACATATTCATCATTTATTTCTTTTATATATCTTATTCATAGGGTACAAAACAAAAGATAATAAAATCAATATTTTTGGTGACTGTCTTTAAAAAATGGATACCAGAGGGAAACAACTTATCCGCGTCAATGCCTTTTAGCCTGACATTTCTGAAATCAAAACTATAAAGAGGAAATCATATGAGAGAGCTCTGAAGATGTACGTCCTCCGCTATGGGGATACCCTTGACTTAACCATAGTTGAGGTTCAAATGGATGTTGTTTCTGCCCTCATTCAGTTTTACGACCCTCCACTGAGATATTTTACTTTCCAAGACTTCCAGTTAGCACCGGCTCTGGAAGAATTTGACAGAATTCTGAATTTTTCCAAAGAGAATGCCTATGTAGGTATCAGACAAAATGTTGAAGTCAAAGCTTTGGAAAAGGGATTAAGGATCCCTTGCCCTGAGTTAATGCAAAATTACCGAAGAGAAGGTCTGATACAAGGAATCAAAAGGATATACTTGGAAACTAAGGCACTCGAATTTTCTAATTATAAAGAATGGGAATCTTGTGCCGATTGTTTATGGCTACTGGTATTTGGTGTAATTTTATTTCCTCGGATTGTGGACTATATTGACCCTGCGACCATTAGCATATTTTGGGGTGCGAAAGTCTTCAATACGGATCCAACTCCCGCTTTTCTTGCTGACATTTATTACACCTTGCATACGATGTACGAAAAGATAAAAGGCACGCTAAATTGTTGCATCCCACTTCTATATACTTGGTTCATGACTCATCTTTACAAAGAAGACCATATGATTCCAAACTTGACTAGACACGAGTGGCCATAGAAATTAAGGTCTCTCACTGCAAACTCGGTATTATGGTATGCAAGGAAGCTGGATATTGGTGACATCACTATTAGATGTGGAGACTTTCCTTGTGTCTCATTGATTGGATTGTGAGGCTGTATTAATTACAACCCTACTTTGGTCCTACGACAGTTAGGGTATCCGTTGGAAGATATACCTTCAGACGAACAACTTCAACCATTAACCATCCACGACATGGGTATAGAAGACCGAGGGTTGCTCAACAAGGTTATCTGGGCTTGGAGTAAGGTTAATAAGAGGAAAGCTGAAAGAAAGAAAGAATTCCATATCAAGAGAACCTTACACCAGATGGGTGAGAGATAGGGTACAGATTATCAAGCTACCATTTGAGATAGGTCTAGGGTACAAGTCATAGGTCCTAGAGGTTACACCTATATCCTTGGAAGTAGTCGACAATATGAAAAGCGCCTTAAAGTAAGCTCAAAAGGAAAAAGAAGCACTGGAAGTCAACCTCCTCAATCTGACCAAAGAAAAGAAGTAGATGCAGCTCATACTTGAGTCAAAGGACCAACAAATTGAGAGAGATCAAAAGGCATTGGAGAAAGAGAGTCTCAAATAGAAGCGTACAACTGAAGGACTATTGAGTGCGACATTCAACCTAAATTCCCACAACCAAAAGTTAGAGGAGGCTGCTACTGAAATCAGAAGGTTAACCAGATGGTATGAAAAGGCAACACATGGCAAAAAGGTGCTAGAGGAAAATCTAAGAGCCCATATCCAAAGTTTTGGCGCAAGCTTCCTTAGATCAAGAAGAGCAAGTAAATTACCTCACCACTGAACTTCAAAACAACCAAGAGTCAGAGGTCAAAGCACGCCTTGAAAGGGTAGAGGCTGAAAGACTCCTGACTCAGAGACCTCAAGAATATGAGCATGTGTGTCTAGAGCTACAGGGTCTCCAAAAAGACTTCCTTATTCAGCGGAGACTTTATACGGAAATGAGGGGTGAAAAGATGTATTGGGAAGAGCAGTATACCAAGATCACCCAAGCAGGGAGAGATAATCATAAGATAATCCCACGTCTTTATCAAGAATACCGGTATTATAAAGACAAACATGAAAAGCTTTCCTTCTTAGCCAACAATTTCATTGAGGATATCCCTCGAAGTTTGAGAGACGCAGAAAGTGTAATGGTCCCTCTTCCAAAGGATGTTGAAGACTTTCTCCAGCTTTGTCGAGCAATGGTTGATGGTTTCAGAGCACACATCCGCAAGCGCGCCTAGGCGATTTATTTACCTTTATTTATGTTTATGAAAACAAGTTTTGGTTTAAGATTGTAATATTTTTCAATATCTGGATTATGTTACTTTCAATAAAGGCGTTTTATTTTCCTATCTCATTGGCGTATCTATTTTTTTAAGCTGGTCACCGAATAAAAAAATAAGCGAAAGATAAATGCATACCCAAATGAATAAGACATTTAAAACAAGTAACCATTTCATATTCATACATATTCATTTGCATGCATACATTCATAAACACCTGTATATCATATCAAAACTCATCTCGATTTTTCAAAAAAAAAATCTCTCCAGTTAAGCCATGGGTAGAAGAAGATCACCACATCCTTGGCCTCCATATCAAACAAGGGCCTATCAACAAAGAACCCTTGAACATATCAAGGAAAACCAGGCGGTATTCAAGGAAGATCTAGACCAAGTCAAAGGTGATGTGAGTTCGATTAAAGGAGATCTGAGTCAAATTCTCCTAGCCCTAAAGAACTTCATTAACAAACAAGACCTGATTCTCAGGGTAGCTTTCAAAGAAGCAGCACAAACGATTGGTACATCAAGCAGCCACCAACTAAGAAAAGATCCAGAAGCAAGACCCAACAATTCAAGAAGGACTGCTTCAAACTTCCCCAAAGGAAAAGAGAGAGAAATTAATGTTGTAGCGTCACAACCAAGGGCACAACAACCATTAATGATCCCACAAGGACATCAGCAAGGCAGAAGGCCACTCAAAAAAATTGATCTGCTCCCTATGCCACCTAGCTAGTTATTACAATAGTTGGTTAAGATATCCTTGGTGGAAATCAAGCCTCTAGCTCCTCCAGTCGGACCACTCCCACGAAGGTACAATACCGACGCCAGATGCGAATGAATTCTATAGTTTATGATCTTCTCATCAATGTTAATAAAGTTGACGGCATCATGCAAGATCAATTTCCATCTTGGGTTTCATAACATATGATGCAAATAGATGCAAAGTATACTTTTGATACTATTGTTGCAACTGATTGTACCAGAAATTTCACCAAGGTAATGGACGTCGTGCATGCAGCTGCTCAGTGGCTTGAATAAGCGTTATGTGATACTCATCAAAAAAGGTGTCTACATGGAGAATGTGGTGGTTGACAAGGAGAACCTTGCTATGGCCGGAGAGGGTACGGGTGCCACCATTATCTCCAGTAACCTTAATACCTGTATCAATAATTTAAGTACCTACCACACTGCAAGTTTTGGTAAGAATTTACAATTTCAAATGCAATTCTACTTATGTTTTTAATTTATTTAATTATTTTTCCTTTAAATCTTTAATATAATTTTTTTTTATAATTATTTTTACCTATAAATCTTTAATATATCTTTGTTTGTTTTCATAGTTATTTTGTCTATAAATCTTTAATATTTTTTTTTGTTTTCATGATTATTTTTCTATAAATATTTAATATAATTTCTTTTATGGATTTTCTCGTTTATATCATGCTAAACAACTTTGACAAAACATAATAATAATAGGAATGAAATATCCATTTTCTTGGGTATACTCAACACAACATATTTATGTTAAAATATCATATAGGCACAAAATTTTCAATGTCTTGCATGGGTATGCACAACACAACATATTTATGTTAAAATATCCATTTTCTTGGGTATACACAACACAACATATATTTATGTCAACATAACATTTAGGCACATAATATATATATTTTTGTTTTCTTGATTATTTTTTCCTAAATATTTAATATAATTTCTTTTATGGATTTTCTCGTTTATATCTAGTGAAGTTATATTCATTAAATACTCTAATTAAATCATATAAAATGTAAATGTATTAATTATATTGTTGCAATTTCTGTTATAATATATATTTTTAAAATAGAACTGTTTATTTACTTTGTTATAACGAAATTTTAGTAAGATCAGTTCAAATATTAATCTTGGTGACTTTTGTTTGTGAAGGTGCGAAAGCTTATGGATTCATGGCACATGATATTTCATTCGTTAACACTGCTGGGCCTTTAGGTGAACAAGCTGTAGCCCTAAGATCAACTTCGGACTGTTCGATATTTTACCGTTGTGAGATTTCTGGATTTCAGGATAGTTTGTATGCGCATTCAAAACGTCAATTCTACCGTGAATGCGAAATCCATGGTACTATCGATTTTATTTTTGGATATGGCACAACTGTGTTTCAAAACTAAGCATAGTTCCTTTCATGATATATTTCTTCGCCATTAGATATTCAATAGGAAGATTAAAAATTACAACAAGAAGGTAATAAGAGTGAGCATAGAGGCTGGCTAATAATATATAAGCTTGTTGACATCCTCAATGTATGCCCTAACATATAGGCTCTAAGCACTAGATCTCGTGTAACTATGTTTAGCCAATCATATCAATCTACTAGAACCAAACTATGCAGTACAATCATTTTGGAAAATGTTCTAAGACAGTATCCATTACTAAAAAAGAGTTTGGTCAGTTAGAGAAAAAATAGAGTGACAGTGAAGAAAGAAAAAACAATAGCAATCGGAGAAAAATAAGAGAAAAGAGAGTTTATATGCATGCAAGAGGCAGTGGAGTTAAGATATCAACGTTTTTTTTTAATAAACTAGTGATTGAACTGTCATAGAAAATAAGCAACATAGTCCCACATCACAATATGGGCTCTGGTGTTTTAGTCATTGGTGTGATGGTGTCTATCTGATAAGTAAATGCAGTCACATAGATGCGCTAATAAGCTGCTAATTAGGTTTCTAAAGCTTTACAATAATTCCCAGTATCCCAGATCAGCCACATTCATTTTATAAAATTGTCACAACACATGCAATTGGGGTGTAATTTAAAATCATGCGTCCAACCACATTAGAATTCACATCAAACAACTTCACCCATATTTCTTGACATATTTTCATCATAACTCAAAGTTTGAAAACCCAAAACCTCAATTTACATCTCATTTGTCATGTAAAATATTAACATAAGTGTTTTTCAATGGTATATTTCAAATATCTCTCAATCGAAATTCATCCTGCAACAGCTACAATACGCATCACAACAATCACAATGGTCGCAATCGCAACACCTGCAACTACAACTATATCCTCCATCGTAACCGCAATCGTAATTTAAAAACCATGGCCACAAGCATATGATAAGTTATATAGGGAGTAGAAAAAGTATAATTGAAATATATGGTATAATAATAATAATAATGTATATTGTATTAAATGTAACTAGTAAAAGACCCGTGCGTTCGCATGAGTCGCACAATATTGTATATACTACACAAAGTATAACATATAATATGGATATTAATTAAACTTATATTACATTAGGATTGAAACTAAAAGATTGATGTTGATCTTCTGAAATAAAAAGGCAAAAGCATATAATAAGTTATGTTAAAACAAATATAAAAACGTAACTGGAAAAAAGAAAACTTAATCGGATTCATCACTTATTACTTATTTCATTTTGTCCTTTCTCACATGCTTAACGTAAAGTGTCTTAGAATCAGATAGGTAATGAAAAATCAAGACATCTCCAATAGTTAAGTTTCTTGAATTTGCATACTCATACCAAACCTTTCCAAGATACATCTCAGGATGTGGCATTTTCCCCTTAAGAATTTTACAATCACGAGATTGCATTTCATCAATGTCCATCAATGTCAGAGTGGTATGATCAACACAAAAACCTTTATTAACAATATCAGCTGGAATATTCTACAAAAAATAAATGTATCGTCAGTTGTCGTTCAATAAATATGAAATACAAAACAAAAGAAAAAATAATTTCAAAATAATATCAAGAAATATTTAGAATGATATATCACCGTGCAATTTTTTCCTCCCTTATAAGATTTTGTGATTTCTTTCTTCCAAAATAATTCGACATTGTAACCCAAACTATTGGGATGAGGATTCTGAGCTCCTCTATTATCATCTTTGTCCACAGGTACGGTAACATCTTTGTCCATTACTAGCTCTTATCTATGTAAGTAAATACTGCACATAAAAAAAAAATTTATTAATAAAATTGAAAGGAAAAATATTTGTAGTGACTATAAACAAATTGTCAATACTACAGTAAGAAATATTTCCAACATTTGACGATGAATCAGATGTATTGTGAGAAATGAGAAGTTATATATATATATATATATATATATATATATATATATATATATATATATATATATATATATATATATATATATATATATATATATATATATATATATATATATTTGGTGGATGTAATTAATATCTACTTTTAATAAAGTTGAATAGATTGGACCTAAAAAGTTGTTTTAAAAAAAGGGGAAAATATAAATAAAATAATACTTAATTATATAAACCAAACATGTAGAGAATACTAAATAGCAAAAATAACAACTTGCACGTGTATGCATGGAAATATTTCATCTCTCAAATAAATTAACATAAATGCAATACTTATGACAAAAAGAGGAGCATGGTTCTAATAAGATTTTTATCTAACCAAGAGATATTGAAATTGTTCATCTGACCCATATATTTGGAAACGCATCGTGCAATGCATGAAACCTTTGAAACTGAATTCATTGATTGAGAATTGTATAATCCAACATTGCATGCGTTTTAAATTAAAATTTTCATCTTCTCTCTCTTACTCTCTTGCTTTGCTCAGATCAAAAACCCTAAGGGCGCCGCCGCCTTTTACAAAATTTTCACACTCTACTTCAACTGAAACCATCCAAACGAAAATCAGAGCAATGAGTGGTAGAAGAAAACTCTGCAATGGTTGGATTTCAGACGATAGCGAGTCAAGCATCAGATTAGTAACTCATTTCCCTTATTTTACCATCTTATTTTGACTGTATTGTGTATTTTTTGATATCTCATTCGATGATGCTTTAGGGTTCATGATTTGGGTTTGTTTATGTTATAATTTAGAGTAACTTTTAGGATATGAGTGGTATGGATATTTCAAAGTTTATAATTTTGGTTGACTGTTAGGGTTCATTGATAGAGTAAATTCATAAATATCATCGCACGATTATTTTGATCATTAATATAATAAGTTGTATTCAATCAAGGGACTATGGAGTTATGATTTAAAAATGTAAATTGTTAAGTATTATGTTGATGTATATAATATGTGGTGTTATTGTTGTTTATGTATAATGCATAATGTTGTAACAAACTTAGCACTCTTATTTCAGTGGAGAAGTAGCCATGGATGTAATTCAGGGACTTGTTAATGAGGTTGGAGAATGTTCTGTAAAAAAAAATCTGCTAAGAAAGGTCAAGAATGTAATGTCGTTGATAAGAAATCAATTAGGTTTGCAGAAACTCGAAAAAGTCCACCTACAGATGTTTCAAGTTTCAACAACATGAACTTTGTTATGAAGGATGTTAAGGTTAAAGATGTTGATGTCTCTATTGTTGCTAGAAATTAAAGTGAACCAATTAAAGGAATTATGAAGAAGTCTAAAACTGTTGTTGATAAAAGTTTTGTCAAGAAAGCAGAGGCCACTGAGAAGAGCTGTAAGAGCAAGTCTTTGAGCAAGACAGACAACAACAAAAAATTTAAAAATGGTAGTAAGAAAACACAAATCAAAAAAGTAAAGAAGGAAAAAAATCCATTCAATGTTAGAATAAAATGGTTTGGGGAGAAGAAAACATATTGCTAGGATATTGCAATACAGAATTCCAAAAGCAAAAAAGAAAATGTTCAGGTAATCCAATTCCAAACTTTTATGTTATGTTAATACAATATTGTTATGGAAAATTAATCCAATGCAACATGTTTATATAATTGCAAAATTTCCCAAGATAAATATCAAAACATTGCTTGGGAAGGAATCAGAAGGAGATGATAATTAGAGATGTTGACTTACGTGAACAATTCAATTGTATAATCAAGACAACAACACGTATGGGGGTACCAAGCCCAACTGAGAAATACATGACCAAAGGATGGTACAATTATGTGTAGACCAAAGGGTTTAGAAATGGCGACATGTTGATTTGTCAAATGAGACGACTTTCTCCGTATGTATATGTCACATTGAAAAAGAATGATGGAAAGGAACAACGGCAAAGTGGGGATTGTGAAAAGATGTTATTAAGAAGTGTCTAAATTATATTTTATTATTTTGTTTGGTTCTTTTTAATTAGGTTTTGGGATTCTATGTTGTCTATGGGTTGTGTTAATACCCTTTTGGGTGTTATTTTGTTTTGTATGAATTTAAGAAGACATGGTGTCTTATGGATAATATTGTACTTTATAATATGCTTCAATCCTCATATTTAATGTATTATTGTGTATTTCATATGGTGCTTGAAAAACATGTATTTGTGGTATAATAGCGAGATTAATCTTAATTTCTCAACGATTGCTTTATTTCTTAAAAATATAATAGATCCTATTAATTTTGTCAAATGAGATTTGAAAAAATTAAATTCATAAGTGATTTTTGACAAAATATAATTTACCATAAAAATAAACAAATAAGCATTTAAAGACATTATATGTTCTATAGTTTAGAATATATAATAACAGTAATTTATGTAGTTATACTTTATGTTTGATATTTGGAGATGATTGTGTCGTCTGAAATACAGGCCCATAACTATTTATCGGTCCAATATTCATATGTGTAACTACAAATATATATATAGGAAGTTTTGAAATAGTGCAGCCAAACACACATTATCAATTGAACTTTGAAGATGGTGAAGTGGGGGGTATCCTTTGTTCCTTCTCCTTCCAGCAGGTAAGTGTTTCTTTCATGCATAATATACTACCTTTTGAAAGCAAAATAATAGTTATATTTTATCAATTCATGCATGCAGTAATATACTTCCTTATGTAGAGAGATATACTTCCACACAATTTTTATGTGTGGCCTTTTGACAGTATGGTATAACATATATTTTGTCTAATTTTCTTTTAACAATAATGATACTTTTGTTATAAATGATTCAGTGATCCTGAGAGAGACTACCTTGAATGGATGCATAGGTTTAAAAAAGAGTTTGAGGAAGAGAAAGAAAAGATGTATGAAACTCTCATAAAAGATAGGTTTCTTACTGAAGCCGAACGCACGGCTGTTTATAGCAGGGAGGTAAAGTGGACGTCGAATGTAAGCGAATTAAGCATGTTTGAAAAAAATGCTCTGGTATCTATATAAAACACTTGTATTCAATGT